TTTAATTCAAATTTATTAAAATTTATTTTCTATTTTTTAGTTGGATATTCTATAAAAGCGTATTTTGTTAGTTTTGTTAAACTACTATTATTTATTATTATGAATAAATATTATTACAAGCAATCAGTTCTAAAGCCTCAGTGATTATTATTTGCGTAGTTATTGCTACGTTATACTAAATATCCACTTCCTGTTTTTATTTCATAGATCGATGAAAGAGGTCGATGTCTATTTGTTTGTTATTTAGTTATCAAAGCCAGTAAATATCACGTAACGTGAATTCCATTACCCGGCTTGAGTCAGGATTTCAAAGTCTCATATTTAATGCATATTATATTATAGTGATCGTCCCAACATTCAAACTAGAACGTATGACTGCTTCGTGGCAGAGATAGGCAGGGTGGTGGAACATAAGTTTTTTTTATTTTTTATTGCTTAAATGGGTGGACGAGCTCACAGCCCATCTGGTGTTAAGTGGTTACTGGAGCCCATAGATATTTACAACGTAAATGCGCCACCCACTTTGAGATATAAGTTCCATGATCTGTCTAGTTACAACGGCTGCCCCACCCTTCAAACCGAAACGCAGAAAAAAGTAAGGTGGTGGTACCTACCGGCGCGGACTCGAGAGGTCCTACCACCAGTATGTATCCTTATAGTGCCTACATTAATAAACTCGGCCACGTTTTGTGGTGACTATGGTTAATTATATGAAAAAGATTGATTTCTTGAAACTATTCACGCGACATCTATTGCACGTTGATGGGAACATGACAGAAAATTTCAAGAACGTATAGAGAACAAACATTAATCATTTAATGTTAAGTATTATAACAATTATCTACCCGATGATATGTAGGCGAAGTAAAATGTCCCTTAGAAATAAGGTGACACTCTACAAAACTTGCATACGCCCCGTCATGACCTATGCAAGTGTAGTGTTCGCTCACGCGGCCCGCATACACTTAAAATCCTTTCAAATTATTCAATCCCGTTTTTGCAGGATAGCCGTCGGAGCCCCGTGGTTCGTCAGGAACGTCGACCTCCATGACGACCTGGACTTAGAGTCCATCAGTAAGTATCTTCAGTCGGCGTCCATGCGCCACTTCGATAAAGCGGCACGACACGAGAACCCTCTCATCGTGGCCGCCGGTAACTACATTCCCGATCCTGCGGACAGAATGGAAAGCAGTCGACGTCGCCCTAAACACGTCATCTCGGATCCTCCTGATCCACTAACGGTGCTTTTAGGTACTTCAAGCACCGGTCACCGTTCTCGTCGAACCCGTCGCTTGCGACGAAGGGCTCGACGAGTAAATTAACTCTCAGACACAGCCCACTGAGTTTCTCGCCGGATCTTCTCAGTGGGTCGCGTTTCCGATCCGGTGGTAGATTCTGCGAAGCACGACTCTTGCTAGGGTTCGTGTTAGCAACATCGTCAGGTTTGAGCCCCGTGAGCTCACCTACTAAAGTTAAGGCTACGCTGAAATAGCCGCTAGGGCTATCAGCTTAGGTAGGAAAAAAAAAAAAAAAAAAAAATTACAATTAATTGTAGGATAAATGAAATATTTAGATTTTGAATACAGCGCCATCTATTAGAATTTTCCTCAACCCGAACACTATTACATCATGACGATTAGCCTCGTTACACCGCCATCTGTTGTAAACTTATAGAGCTCAGAGAAAATTGTTTTATTTCCGATAAGATGCTCTTTGTTTCATTAAATGTAATAAACAACAATCACATTTCAGAGTAATGGATTTTAAAATGCGCACGTTTTATTTTTAGACATTAAAAATATGATACAGTGGCCCGCTAATAATATCCGTTTGGACTGAATGTTTACAAAGCTTATCAGGATTGTTTGAGAACAATTACCTCAGCTAAGTACAAGGTGGCCACCACGCCCATTTGGTCGTAGTTCCAAGACAAGTATTGCACACCCATAGCGCGTCGTACCGCCGAGTTAGCTCCGTCGGCGCCAATCTGGAAGATGCATTTTGATAGAAATATTAATGATACGTATGATTTCGGTTGTTTTTTTTTTCTTTTTTGTTTTTTTTTTATCTAGAGGCTAATTCAGCTTTACCCTAGCGTGTAGGTGAGCTCTTGGGGCTCAAACCGGAGCTGTTGCTAGCACTGGCCCTAACAAGAGCAGTGCTTCGCAGAATTTACCACCGGATCGGAAACGCGACCCACTGAGAAGAGCCGGCGAGAAACTCAGTGGGTTGTGTCTGTGGGTTAATTTAATTTATGACGGTGACCGGTGCTTGAGGTACCTAAAAGCACCGTTAATGTATCGGGAGGAACATAGGTTATGTAATGTTGGTAGAGTGTATGGTAAGCTCGCATAGGCCAGTTTTTGCCGCGATGCTGACCACACATTGAGGTTTGGAGACGTTATCCTTAATAACACCCCATTTTCGCTCTGCTATTTCTAAGTCTGCAACGGTAGCCAGTCCAGTCATATTTAGTTTATCTATACTTCTATACTAATATTATAAAGAGGAAAGATTTGTTTGTTTGTTTGTATTGAATACGAAAACTACTGACCCGATTTGAAAAATTCTTTCACTGTTTGGAAGCTACACTATTCCCGAGTGAAATCTTTTTTGAAAAAATTTAGGGATCCTTACTGAAAATCCAATAATGTAACCCAAGGTGTAAAAAAATTACCTAAAATATTCTTTACATCGCGTGCCCTGCGAAAACTATTGAGGATAGAATAAAATAATGTACTACGATTTTGTAGAACACATTATTGTTTACAAAAAGTGTCGCGACAGCATATGTCTAACTATTATAGTTATGCCGCAATAATTCTTTTATTTTTTTTTAAATAAAACAACGTCGTTGATATTTTTGTTAAAGATCCGAGCGGAGCCGGAGCGGGCCGCTAGTAATTCATATTTTCATTAATTAATTAATATTAATGAAAGAACACGTCCGTTATACTCTAGTTCACTGCTATTTTTATCAATAAACCATTAATCGGTGCAGTACGCCAACTACGTGATTTTCACCAGTCTTTGTGAGACGCAGCGTGTTTAGCTTTTCCATTGAACTATTCACACCGACCAGATGTTATTATAGTTGTCGAATAATTATTGGGCCCGCGCGTATTACTTGCGTTCAATGTTTCAGTATGATCCGTGTAGTGGTGCAGAGCTAGACTACTGAGCCCTAATTAATGTACTAAACGTGTATAGTGGCCTACAAAAAACGTGGGTACAAGCGCGTGGTGAGTTCATAAATTTTAATCTGACTGAAATATGAGACTGTTAAATAAAACATAAGTTCCGATAAAATTTATTTATACAGTTACGGTCTACTTAATACCTTAATAGGCGTTTGTTCTTTCAAAATTAATAAATTCAATTCATATTTAAACTAGAATCATACCGTTCAAATAATATATGTCGATGATATTGTGAACAATATTTTTTTTCTTTATATTGCTAATTCGGTAAATATATATTTTTTGTTTAATCTGGTGATTAATAATAAGGATTATACTTATACACATAGTTCTTATAATTATTTAAAACTTCAAAGCCCATCAAAATTCTCAATAACGAGCAACTATCAAATCCTTAGAGATGATAAATTAATTTGTAAATTGGTTGCATCACTGCGCAGCTTACATTATAAGCTTCGAAGAAATACGTGGTATTCGATATTTTGATAATATCCGGTCACACTCGACCGCAATTATTGAGAGCACCGAAGAATTCGGGTCACTTAGTTTGCGTGTACCAAATTATTGCAAACATATTATTTCGACGAAAACTTTTTTTCCAACTACGTATCTTCGAATAAGAAAAAGCTTACAAGGCCCATCGAATAGACAGGTGTCTAAACAAGTCTAAAATAGAACGAAACCCCAAATCTAAACTAGCCATTCATCATAGTTCAAACTTAAAACAGATGGGGTTTTTTTTAATTTTTTTATTGCTTAGATGGATGGACGAGCTCACAGCCCACCTGGTGTTAAGTGGTTACTGGAGCCCATGGACATCTTCAACGTAAATGTGCCACCTACCTTGAGATATAAGTTCTAAGGTCTCAGTATAGTTACAACGGCTGCCACACCCTTCAAACCGAAACGCATTACTGCTTCAAGGCAGAAATAGGCAGGGTGCCTACCCGTGCGGACTCCTAAGAGGTTCTACCACCAGTAATATTGTAATCAATTTTGCAAATACCGTTTAAAGCAAGAATTAATTCACGGAAGGATAGATATTTCGTTTCAAACTCGCGATCGGTTTCATTTCATCAAAATCTGAAATCTTGAACTATTGTAGTACACATAGTTGATTTTCTAAACAATCCCAGCATGCCACAAGACGTTGTTATTAAATTCTATTATTGGAATTTTGATTCGTTTGTTTGCATTGTTGTTTCACAGAACAGAACGTTTTGACCACTTTACTGCAGCATTAATTTAGTATAGTACATTTTGTGTATGTTTCTCAAGGACTCTCTCATATTAAATTTATTTTTGGCAGGATAAAAGTGCTAATCCATTTTTTCTATTAGAGAATTTGTTGACACGTATACTGTTTTGGCCTAGTTAAAAGAAACATAATAATTTATAGTTCCATAATTTATTACGGGCCACGTTAGCTAACGTACATTTTGGTGAGTTTCTAAACGTGTCAATGGTTTAATAAAACCAGACTTCTGTAACTATTCGCGTAGGAGAACGGTCTGACGGAAACGCGACACTATCAAGTGCTTTAAATAGATTTTTTTCACGTCAACAACGAATTAATAAATTTATAATTGGTCAGTTCATGCGATTATCAATATTATGAGTTTGTTTAATGAATTTTAAACGACTTGTAAGTGATTATCGTAACCGGCTATAAAACTTTTACGGCCCCATCAAACTGTTCGTGATCCGAAATTATGATTAGGTGTATCGGCGGGGGATGTCACGGATCCGAGTGGATTGTACCGAGAGCTTTCAGATTTCAGTAAAGCGCGGGATGGCGCCATGATACGCACTCACGCACAACGTTCCCGTAATATATCGCCGTCTCATTGCTCCAACAAAAATGACAAGAATAAAAAGGTGTGGAAATAATAAAATGTTACCGCCGTATCATTTTATTACATTTTCTTATTTATAAACGAGTACAAATGTTTAACGTTAGGTTTTTTTGTGTTTGTTTATATTTTACTAAAAATATATTTCGTGTATTCGTGGTAGGAAGTGAGTTATCTAATAACAATGGGATAATTGATTGCGGACAGGTGTGCCAGGAAGGTAGCGCGCGATGGTGTGGCGGCATGAGTCAACTGCAGGAGGATGCAGAGGATGATGTCGAAGGAGGATACATATCTAGCGACGAGTCAGCACACGGCGCTGATCTCGCTGAACGTCTGAGGGTCAAACCTTCTAAAGATATATGGGAACTGGGTAGGTACATTTTTGAATTAATACAATGTATTGTTCTAAATATTTGGCATGGTGATTTAGAAACAAAAATAGTCACAACAGACCTTCATTTTAGTGAATTTGAGGCTTACGTCAAGGAGTAAATATGTACTGAACTAAAATAGTGATTTGCAGACATGTTTAGTGAGCCATGTCGATAAATTAATCAAGAATTTGAATGAATTAAGTACGTTAATTTTTACTCAGTAAATAGCAGTAAGTGTACTTTTGTTATAAAATTACGAATTAATGAGATTCATTTCTGATTTTTTATCCTCAGACGAGATACAGTACACTTTACGGCTACTGCCGTATTCAGAAGAAATATCAGTACTTATAGGTAATGGGAATTACGATGAAACAATACAGTTTGCCTCCGAGGCTGAAGGCGGATTTGGCCTACGAACAGCCATCCTTTGGGCCTGTTGGCTCGGAAAGAGTATTCTGCTTTTTAAATTGCTAAAAATGGGTGTTGATCCCGATGAACTAGACGATGCCGGAAGGTCTGTAGTATACGACATTACTGCAAGTTGCGTTTTATATACTACACTTTTTTGAAATACATATATAGGTATTGATTTTCAAAACAATTTTCAGGACATGTTTACATTTAAGTTGTTTAGTTGGAAGCGAAGAATGCGTGAAGCTTCTACTCGACCACGGAGCGCACCCGAATACATGGGACTCGTCTACAGAAACAAAAGCGACGCCTCTCCATTGCGCAGCCAGCGCCAAAAGTTTAGCTTGCGTAAAGGTAAACAGGACGATACCAAAGATGAAAGTTGACCCCGTTAATATATATGTCAATATTTATGTTTATTTTTTCCAGGTGTTGATAGCTCATGGTGCTGACGTAAATGCCGGTTTAAGTGACAGGTCTCCGTTACATTACGCCGTCCTCAGCGATGCACCGGAAGTTGTGAAGGAATTATTAGAAGCGGGTGCGTGCCCCGACACGCCACAGGTGGGCTGTCTAAATTAATTTCAAACACAAACCAGATACTAAGTCATAAGTGTAAACAAATCACCATTTTGCGCATTAATGGAAAGTATCTATATATTAATACGTGAAGCAAAAACTTTGTATCCCTTTTTACGAAAATTGCGCGGACGGAGGAGTATGAAATTTTCCACACTTATAGAGAATATAGAGAAGAAGTGCACAATGCTAATATTTTTTTTAAATAATGCATAAAAGATACAATAAATCAATAAAGAAAATATTACACACACCACATACCGTGTAGTTGACGCACACACGCATGTATACTATTTATTGTCAAACTTTTGTTCTGGACGTCTGTGGTCAAATTGGGAATAGATTAAATATTGTTTGTCTTTATTAATATTTTTTCATAGAGTAGCCTTGGCGAAATTTGTGATTATAGACGTATAAAATACAATCATAATAGTGTACAAACTTCCAATTAATTATAGTCGAATTTCGACTACTGCGGGACCTCTAGTACAGCTAACTGGACGATTGTTAATTTTTTTTGTAGGTATTTACGGAAACACCTTTGCACGTAGCGGCATCGTTGGGGTCGGCTTCGTGCACTAAATTGTTGTTGAATGCCGGTGCTGATGTCCGAGCGGCTATGGGCCCGGGGAAGGCCACGGCACTGCATCTAGCCGCCGAGGACGGTCACGCAGAATGCGCGCGTTTGTTACTCGATCACGGCGCACACATAGACTGGCCCAATTTCCGGGGACAAACACCCCTTCATCTCGGTAAATCATAAAATTATTTCAATTATTTTTACTTGTGGCAGGACGTCTTGTGAGTCCGCACGGGTAGGTACCACCGCCCTGCCCATTTCTGCCGTGAAGCAGTAATGCGTTTCGGTTTGAAGGGTGGGGCAATCGTTGTAACTATACTGAGACCTTAGAACTGATATCTCAAGGTGGCTGGCGCATTTACGTTGTAGATGTCTATGGATTCCAGTAACCACTTAACATCAGATGGGCTGTGAGCTCGTACACCCATACAGGCAATTTTTATTGCATTAAAAAAATTAACACTTACACTGTCATGTAGGTCACCGGTGCCCTACGCGACGCACTGAAGTAATTACATAGATTTTTTATACTAAGCGCCTCGATTGCCTAACTTTGCCTTCTTTTGTTTGTTAATGTATATTTTATAGTCTTTTAGGTCTCTTAGAAATAGATTAATTCTCAGTATCTTTGGATTCGTCTTCGTCAGAGTCTGCTAGATATTGCGGCCCCTTAACAAGAAGAACGTAGAGAGAAATCGACATAATTACTTCAGTGCGTCGCGTAGGGCACCAATGACCTACATAGCAGTCAACGTGTTAATATTTCGAAGCAGCTTTGTTATCCGAGAAATTTTACTTTTATGTACGCAGCTACTTTAGCGCAGTCACTGGAAGTGGTAGAGATGCTTGTGGACAGATGTGCCGATGTCCGTGCCAAGGACGCAGACGGCAGAACTCCTTTACACGGCGCAATCGTTAGAGGAGCTCGGGCTTGCGACATTGCCCGTTTACTTCTCTCTGCAGGGGCCGATCCTAACGCTTCTGACAATTTCGGCTACACACCATTGCACATTGCTGCACTGAATGAATTCTCGGCTTGCGTTCTATTGCTGTTAGGTAAGAATAATTTCATATTTACTGAAATATAACGCTTTTTTATATTAACGTATCTGGGCAGAGAGCTTGGCGGGTTTCTTGATGTTGAGCGGTTGCTTGAAGTCAAGAATATCCAGTCTGGTAACATCACGTGGTATAAAGACCACCTTCAAATCAATTGGAATATGTGATTCCACTATAAATAGAAGGGTTGTAACAATTACGTTCGAGTTAACTACTCCTACTTGTATGTTATACTAATATCAACTGATTTATTTTACCCAAAATGGCTTCTTCGCTTCCGACACTAATAAATGACAAGAAATTCGATTTCTTGCTAATCGCGATTTGGAGTTTGTATCATCAATCCCGCCATAAGCGTATTTGATACAAGGGTCCTTCGTCATGGTAAGCAAATGGGTATTTCCAAAGAATTCCGATTCCAAAAGAATGATGAACGATTCGCATTGCTATTAGCCCGAGAATCGCACAGTAGCATAGTCGCATGACTACAGTTGCCTCTGATGCCTTGCAAATAAAATTTGGATGATTCTAAATGCACTGTAGGACGTTGTGAAAAAGTATTTGTTTTTTCTAAGCTACCTATTGTATTATCAATTTAGCTTTATGGCCATACAGCCAAACGGAATCGTATTTTTAATAATATGTTTTTTTTTTGTTTGATACAATTCCATTATATACAGAGTCTTCATGCCTCTTACACGGGAAGCGGTGTTGCAGTGATCTGTCCTAGTCTATTTGCGTTTGTTTAGTATGAGTGATTCTGTTGGATGCCGTTTATTTCAGATTACGGGGGCGACTTAACACTTCGAACAAACGGAGGCGTTTCAGCACTTTCTTTCATCGTACGAAGAGTGCCCGATGTTATTCCTCGTTATTTGTGCAAGTTCGACGACGCTGTACACGTGAGCGAGCATGAGCTCGGAGACGTGGACTGCGAGCTCACCATTGACTTCAGACCCCTCGTGCCGTGTCTAACGAGAGGAGAAGCCGAACTATTGCTTGCATTTGTTGAGGTATTTTTTTTATTGTCCTTGTAGGCAGATGAGCACACGGCCCACCTGATGGTGAGTGGTTACCGTCGCCCATGGACTTAAGCAATGCCAGGGGCAGAACCAAGCCGCTGCCTACCGCTTAATACTCTCACAAGCCTCGTTTGAAGAAGGACATGTCATAGCGCTCGGGATACACCGTGGAGGGAGCTCATTCCATAGCCGGATGGTACGTGGCAAGAAAGACCTCTGGAATCGCACTGTGAATTACCGCAGTGGCTCCAGGTAGTATGGATGAGCTCTACTCCGGTGGCGGGCGCTGCGATGGTAAAAACGAGATGACGGCATCAAATACTTATTCTTTGATATCAAATATAATTTATTATGCTGCTGAAATTAAATTGTTAAATTTTAATTTCAGGTTGGACATAAAGACGTATTAAAACATCCGGTGGCTGAAACGTTTCTGTTTTTGAAATGGCGCAGAATCAGAAAGTTTTTTGTATTAAGCTTTATTTATCACGCTATATTCATAACTTTATACAGTCTTTATATTCTGCGTAAGTACGAATTATTTTAATTAGTTTTGGATTCAAATGTTTAGAGTTTACGTGTCTAAATCTTTTATTAATAATAATAAGAATATGAGTCGCCTCACTGTCGCGAATTTAAGTTTTAATTGTTTATTTTCTAGAATTATCATAGCCTATCTGATCGCCTTGTTGTTTTGCTGGTCTTTGATCAGCTGCGTCTTAGTTTGATTCCCAGTCGCAGCTCATGTGAAAGATATTTGGTATACAAATCTAGTTCTTCATCTCGCATGTGTTCAAAGTTAAAAGTCTTTGCTCTTGGCAATTGATTATGTAACCTTTAGTTATGGCATTCAGGGAAGCGGCGTGTGATTTTATAGGGAAATAAAGTTTTCATCTCGGTTCTGCCAAATATTCGCCTTACATATTCTATGTGAGGCCGCTAAAAGACATGCCCGCTGAGGTTCTTGCCAGTTCTTCTCAGGACGGAGGCTAGTTTTTGTGAATTGGCGGTAGTTCCTTTTGACGTTCAACAAGTGTGTACTTTCCTTTATGTTGAATAATTTTTTATTGATTTGATTTATGCTGTTAATCTTCATTTTCTTCAGTTTTCTTCATTTTTCCAGAAATATTCCTATGTGAAAACGCTACGTGTAACGTGCCTTCTTATCTTCGCCCAGTTCAATATTTGATACTTATCTTGAACCTATGTTTTTTGGCCAAAGAAATATTTCAAGCATGTCAAGATTGGTCAGCTTATATCCGGCAGTGGGAAAACTGGTTGCAATGGCTAATTATCATAGGAGTGTTTTTGTGTACGGTAAGACGGATATACATATTACAATAACAGTTAATTTGGTGTTATGAAAATATGCGTTTTTAATATTGCTTTTTCTTAAATAGATACCGTACTGGGACGTAGACAATGGGGTTTTAAGAACAAACACAACGAACTGGCAGCACGACGTGGCTGCAATTACCATATTTTTCTGTTGGCTGGAACTGATGATGATCATCGGAAGGTTCCCTACTTTCGGTCTTTACGTCCAGATGTTTACTACAGGTACAAATCTAGTGAATAGGCAATTTCGAACGTATGTCTATACCAATAAGAGTCTTATGTGTTTTTATTTATTTCAGTTACGGTTAATTTTGCCACATTCCTCCTGGCGTACAGTTGTCTCCTCATTGCTTTTGGTCTAGCTTTTAGCGTGCTGTTCAGCAACTACCCCGCATTCCATTTACCGGCTGGTTTAGTCAAAACGGTCATGATGATGTCAGGAGAGCTTGAATACGAGGATATATTCTACAACAACTGCACAAATTCTGAGATTTACTATCCTCTGACGGCACACATTATGTTCCTGATATTTGTACTACTTGTTACCGTTATATTGACAAATCTACTAGTTGGTTTGGCTGTTAGTGATATCCAGGTATGTTATTAAGGCTTAATAAGTAATTGTTTCCGGACATAATTAAATTTATAATATCAAGAAAATAATAATGATCTCTGGTACTCACTGTATCTAACTTGCTCTTACTTTGAGCTTAAGACAAGGCAATAGAGACGAATTATAACTGTATATTCACAAAATATAACCTTTTTTCTCCCATACTTATTCACCAGTAGCCTATGAGACTATTCCAGCTATGTCCGGACGAGTAGGTGAGCTCACGGGCTCAATTTGAGAGAATTTGCTAACACTAGCCCTAGCAAGAGCAGTGCTTCGCAGAATCTACCACAGGATCGGGATCGCGACCCACTGAGAGGATCCGGCGAGAAACTCAGTGGGCAGAATACCCGTAGATTTCTATTTCCAAGTCGTACTGGACGATATACTGCGTACTCTGATAGAAGTTGGCCATGCCACGAAGATTGTATAAATTATTCGTAACATCGGAGATACTATCATGACAATAAACGGTTAGCGTGGTATGGGCATGTGATGTGTAGAGAGAAGATGCATGTAACTAGGAGATGCATGGAAATGGAAGTGCAAGGTAGAGGGGGAAGAGGTCGACCGAAGAAGACATGGATAGAGTGTGTGAATGACGTATGAGAGAGAGAGGAGTCAGTGGTGAGATGACGGCTGATAGAAGAAAATGGAAGAGAAAAATTAGCTGTGCCGACCCCACCTAGTGGGATAAGGTGTAGAAAAAGAAGAAGAATAAAACTCGGGGCATTAAACCCTAAAAGTATTTTAAATAACGTTTACCACTCGCGGGAACCGAAAAAAAATTAACATTATAATATAAATGTTTATAATATAGTTTTACTTTGCAGGCGTTACAAGAGGGTGCTGGATTGGATCGGTTGGTGCGTCAAACACAATTGATAGCTCATCTCGAGGGAATGCTGTTCAGCTCACTGTTATCATGTGCGCCTCAGCAGTTGCTGACTGTTTTACGTTGGGGAGCATTACTGACGGCGACGCACATGCGCACAATTAATATTAGACCGAACGATCCTAGAGAGAATAGAGTAGGTTTTCGCATAACAGTGCTTTTAATTTTGTGACACAATTTTTATTTGGATTAAATTAAATATATTTAATCACTAGCTGACCCGGCAGACTTCGTAGTGCCTCGATAAATAAAAGACCTAAACTTTTGTATAAAATAAACTTAAAACAAACAAAAGGAATCCGTCCGACGGGGGACACATCAAAGGAAAAACAAAATTATTTTTATTTAATTCCGAGCATTTTCATATTTATCTACCTTTTAAACCTTCTCTGGACTTCCACAAATAATTATAGACCAAAATTAGCCAAATCGGTTCGGCCGTTCTCGAGTTTTAGCGAGACTAACAAACAGCAATTCATTTTTATATATATAGATTATTGACTGCCAAATGATCTTAGGGTCCGATCTTAGGGGCCGTGTATCTAACACGTTTCACGCAACGTTCTTTATGTGCATCGGTATTAAGATATAAAAGAGCTCCTAGCCTCTTAGGCCCTTCTTCAAATCTCGTTTGACGACAGACATCTAACAATTGACGATAATGAAAATATTTATTTTAAAATGCGTTAGTTTTTAATAGTGTCTGATACACGCAACGAAATCATCAGGTGTTGCCAATGTAATTTATGTTTACATAATTTGAATACGTTTTAGAATCTAAATTATGGTGTGAAGAACGAATATACCAATCATATTAATTTTTAAAACGTAGGTGAGAAGACTTAGGTACTCTAGATGGGTGAGCGAGTTTTCGGAACACCTTTTCGTTTTTTCTTTGCCACGTACCATTCGGCTTTGGAGTGAGCTCCCCTCTAAGTGGTTTCCCGAACGCTATGATATGTCCTTCTTCAAACGAGGCTTGTGGAGAGTATTTAACGCTAGGCAGCAGGTTGGCTCTGCCCCTGGCATTGATGACGTCCATGGGCGACGGTAACCACTCACCATCAGGTCGGCCGTATGCTCGTTTGCCTGCAAGAGGAATAAAAAAAACCCACCTAGAGAAATGTATCAACAATTTATCAGTTAGTATGGGAATTAGTAAATGCGGCGAATTGGAAATAAATTGTATCCGTCCCTAGAATTTAAGTTCCGGTACATTCACATCATTCAATACTCGTATCCCGAGCGACTCCTCATTCGATAACTTCCATCAGATTTTGAAATTTTATTCTGTGTCTAAATTTTTAGATACCGAAGGAATTCATATCAGCTATCTACAAGATGGTGGCAAGTCGAAAGAATACGAAAAGAAGTGTACGAAAAAATAACAATTACGAATTTAGAATAAGGAGATGCCCGGAAGAGGAAACAATATCAAAACCAGAAATCGTTAAACGAAAAAGCAATTTATATGACAGATTCTCATTTGACAGTCAACAGGTGGAAAGAAGGAAGCGACCTACTTCAGGATCGAATACTGACAGCAGGAACAGACCCCCTTCATTGACGATCAACGCTATACAGGAAATATGCATGGTTGATATAAAAAGCCAACTTCTTGAACTAACAAAGAAAGTTAATAAATTACTTGAAGGTACAGAAGCAAGATTAAATCAAATCGAAAGCAAACTGAACGGACAGCTGCCATAAAATGTTTCATTCAATAATGCTGTTGAAAATTAATAAACGTATGATATTATATACATGTTTGTTTTGTATTATACATGCTGATTTCAGTGGAGCAATCACATAGGATCTCTTTTACAGATCCAAGATGAAAACATCTATTTGTGGTATAATGTTATGGCACTCTAGTATTATTTCTGAAGTTGAGTAATTAAGTCTAATCCGACATACTAATCAATCTATCAAATATTAATTTTTATTAATCCTCAGATCTAAATTTCATTTTTAAGGCAAAAATAAGCCATATGATGATGAATATGAATAAGGCATTATGTAAAAATAAAATGATACATACCAGCAGTTGGCATGAATATGTGTCACCATTATTCATTTTAACTAAACTCTTTGGATTTACTTCTTCAGAATTTGGCAGTGTATAATCTGCAATCTTTGCTTCATAGACAATATTAAAGTTTTTATTGTCTGTATTATTTAGTTCTGTATTGACAGCATGCAGCAATACATCATTTTCGACAATGTAGGCAACATCATCATTGTAGTTGTCGGCACTGTTGAATGATATTAAAGCATCTGAACAAGCATCCCAGACCTAAAAATTAAAAATATTCTTTATGAGATAATTGAATTAATGTCATTGTTTATCTCATAAAATTAATCATCAATGTTAATGGATACATTCTATTTCCCAGTAGAACATAATAATATAAAGACAGAACATATAAAACAATATTATAGCTTTATGAGATTATTGCTTTTTCATGTTTATTTTTTTGCATAGTAAACAAACTCATTAGGTACCTACCTTGTGACATGTGGTCTAAGTATCGATTGTATGGTTTAATCACAGTTCTGGACTTAAAACTGCAATGTTTAAAAGCATTGCTGCAGAAAAGACATGATGGTGAAAAGTATCTTTGCAGGCTTAGTATATGCACTATGACAATTACTAATATCTACACTCTTTGTGAGCCAGCATCAGTTGTCTTTTTATTGGTTAATTGGCATGCTTACAACCTCGCTGGTAATTAATAATTAACCAAATACATTAGTTATCATAATCAAACCTACCACCGAATTTGAATTGTCATGAAACTTTCATTAAAATAAATTGAAAATACATCTCATACTTGCATATGTTTCACAGGTTGCAGTCTCATATCCTCAATATGTTTCCAAACATTCAAAGATGACATTAATGATTTGGTATTTTGACTAAGTGCCACAACTCTGTTGCTGTATTCTTTTCTCAGTTCAAATTGCTTGTAAGGGCTGCTTTCCAATAGTAATATTTTGAATGTGGAAAATAGTGAGTTTTTAGCTGTAATCAAATATTTTTGCTAAAAAGATACTGTTGTATGTTCTATTTACCGTAAGCATGAGTACCTTACCTAAGGCACAAGCCAAGGTGCAGCCAACCATTCCACCTCCAGCGATTATGATATCATAATTTCCTTTATATTTGGCGTCTGAGATACTACTCAAGGGTCGTAGGTTATAATTAAAATTCTTTGATATAATTCTATGTGTTCGAAATATTTGGTAAATATTCCTGGTTAACAACATTTTAGTTTATGGATTATGTAAGTAATGGTTTAACTTAATGGATGCAGAGAATAGTAGTGTGGGAAAATAAGTAGAACTTTTTCACTCTATGTGTGTAGCTTTTTTTAGATTATTGAGGTTCAAATCAAATCAGCTGGTTTCGTTTTGGTAAATTTAATGTTGTGACATTTCATGGGCACATTTTGAAAATTTGACAGTAGTAGTTTTACTTTTCCAACTGGAAAGGCAAAGGTGTCATGCTATAGCATCTAGTCTTTTATCCTAGGCCGAACGGAATCAAACCCATAAAATAACAAATTTAATTGTTAAAAAATCAATTATAAAAATTAAGTTTATTTTTATTTACTTAATATTATAAGTTTAATTTATAAGATTTTATAATATAAGCTATCTGTATGTCTGAAATATTCAACAACGAATGTTTAAAATGTGATAAAAGTTAAGTCTTCAGAATAAAAACTAAGCTGGTGAGGCGTCAAGAAAAGTGCCCTAAGCTTCGTATTGAACAGGAGGTACATGAGAACGAATTTGGTATGCAAATCCGTTGCTATGGAGTTTTCAAGAATAATTTTCATACAACAAACAACAAAGCATCTTACTTATGTGAAAGCGCTTAAAAATGTAGTGTATTCAGTTTAGTAATGACACATTACCATAGTGTTTTTACCAATTCATGTCTAAGAGTGCCTGTAGATCCTGTTAGTAAAATGCCAAAAACTGAATACGAACGAACGGGTAGTTTAACCGAACAATGTTCGATTGATTCTATGTCGAGTTGTTCTTTAGCTGCCGCTGATTTGGATGCTATTAAATTGAAAGAATTTTATCGTAATATACCAGACTACAAAGACATCAACCATTTACCTACCGAAGAATTCTACCTGACTTTAAAATCTTTACGTGAAAAAAAGAAAATAATGTTGGATTTGGCAATGGAACACATCGACGATTGCACCAGTAACGGCGTGAGAAATAATAACGTGTTGAATAGAAAATGCTGCTCAAAATCAAAATATGACGACATTGCTGGGAGAAAATATTGTAATGATAACAAAAGGAATGAAAATATTAAATTCGAAAATCCTTCACCCAAGCCATCTAAAAAATCAGTAAAACAAAACAATGAAAATATACAACGATCTTGCAAAAAAGCAACAATTATGAATGATGCATCAAAAACAACATTTAGAGATGACTTAAGAAATTCGCAGGCTGATCATAACAAAGAACAACCGAAAAGAAATTATTCTGCGTGTTCTATATCTTGGAACGTTGCCGATCTTGAGAAGAAAGACGAAATTGATGAAAAATTCGAACAGTATTTTGATAAAAAGAAGTATAATGTAGCCAAAGTGGATATTGATGATCCAAACGAATTTAAAGCCCAAAGCATGCCTTCTAGTCCGTTGAGAAGCAAAAGAGTTACATCTCCTTTAAGAAAGCGGAAAAGCATTACAGTCCCTAAGCCATTTAAAATGACTGAAAGGTATGTATGTGAAGTATAAAATTCCAGGAGTAAATATTTTTAAAGCTAAAAAGGAACCCAAAAAAACTATTACCGGAGATAAAACTATTCTTGCCATACGTAGATATTATTACAAAGAAAAATCGTTTTCTTCACATAAAACATTCATAATTACTGTGTGCGTCTATTAAATAGCTAGATTAAAAAAAAAAAAAGCTCATGCAAAATAGTCTTCACTGGCCTCTTAACTTGTAACACAATGCTTACCTATTTTTGTGGTCAATTAGGTAGGTACCGAAAGATTCGCCTTGCCAATCTTATGGAATGTTTTAAGGACTCCAAATTATCATGGTCTAAATACCTTACTTTCAGAGATCAGAAGTCTAGGCGACACGGCGGCTAGTCATCAACATTTATGAATTCGGAAATTATACTTTCCAGCTACGTTTTTGTGGATTTAGTTTTACCCAATACTGAATCTGGCTGAGAGAATTATTTTTGAGGAGCATCGTGTTAATATTAAGATACTTAATCACCATAATGAATATCAAAAATCATATCTTGATACGTCTGGGAGGATGTTTAGATACTTTTCATTACACAGCTATTCATCTTACACTAAAACCCAGTATCGTGAAGTGGACAAATAAAAGGCCTCTATAGATGTTTATTTGTCTATACCTATCGCTCCTTTTCGCTGATGTATACATTTTTTTCTCGTAATGTCATGCAATATTAGTAGCTTCTTCAATGCCGATCCGAAAAAAAAAAAAAACGAAGACATTCATTTTTCATTGCTTTTTGTTTAGGGACGACGAAGAACGAATTGTGAATGAGCTGCGGAGTCTAAGAAAATCATTTTCAGAAGATATGCTAAATCAGAAATGCGAAAAGAAAAAGTTCAAAGCGAAACCCGTACCGATCGAGTCACGCATTCCACTCTACGACAAAATACTCGAGGANTGCCGATCAAAAAAAAAAAAAACGAAGACATTCATTTTTCATTGCTTTTTGTTTAGGGACGACGAAGAACGAATTGTGAATGAGCTGCGGAGTCTAAGAAAATCATTTTCAGAAGATATGCTAAATCAGAAATGCGAAAAGAAAAAGTTCAAAGCGAAACCCGTACCGATCGAGTCACGCATTCCACTCTACGACAAAATACTCGAGGATCAAGCCATGAGGTTCACTATGATCGCGCACACCTGTAGGCTTCTCACTACATTTATTTGCGAAATCAATAGTTAATTTTATTTGCTGATCCTAAAACGCACATAAATAAGTTTATATTAAAGCACTTTATCGGTTGTTATATTTTTTTAGAAATATCACGATTTACTAGAAACAATATTCTTGCTCTATATCTTCACGTCTTAGTCACTGGTGGTAGGACCTCTTACGAGTCCGTACGGCTAGGTACCACCACCCTGCCTATTTCTGCCGTGAAGCAGTTATGCGTTTCGGTTTGAAGGGCGCGGCAGCCGCTGTAACTATACCGAGACCTTAGAACTTGTATTTCAAGATGGGTGGCGGCATTTATGTTGTAGATGTCTATGTGTTCCGGTAACCACTTAACACCAGGTGGGTTGTGAGCTTGTCCACCCATCTATGCAATAATAAAAAAAAGGCTAAAAATCTTCACATAATTTTATAATTTATTTAGTGCATAATAACTATATTAATTTGTAGGTATGTTCTAGCTTATTGGAATATAATAAGTAGCCTATTAGTAACATTAACACACTTTGTAGAAGAGCCATCACGAAAATAAACAGTGAAGCCGAGTTAAGGGCACAAATGAAGCCTTTTAGTTTTACAAAAAGAGAGGAAAAAGGCATAACAGGTATTTGTGAGAAGGCAGCGCTCGTTATGCCTAAAAGAAAAAAAAAGAAACGGTTTAGGGCAAAACCCATTCCTAAGAATTTATTTTCTAACTATTTCTATAATAATATGAAAGAAGACGAGTATTTTAGGTGAGATAAATTGTTGATAATGTATTTTTTATTATTATAAAAGGTGTACTTCTTTCACTTTAGATAAGCAGATGGGCTTACAGCTCATAGACATCAGAAAGCGGATACCACCAGGTGAATTTCATCTTGAATTATTATGAAGTCGTTTTCTCAATTGTGTTGTGATAATGGCTGTAAATGATAATTGACATAATCCAGTGGCAAGTATTGCGAAGCTACGCAGTGGGCTAGGCGCATTGCACGTTAAACTGATAGTCGCTGGGCCCAAAAAGTTTTCAGAAGGTAATCTCGCAGTACAAATTGAGCAGGTGGCCTTCCAGGAGTTGGATCGACCTGTTGAAATTGGTAGAAACCCGCTACATACGGACAGCGCAGGAATGATCAGTATGGTGATCCTGGAGGGAGTCCTGGGGAGAGTTTTTACTTGTGGTAGGATGTATTATGAGTCCGCACGGGTAAGTACCACCGCCCCGCCTATTTCTGCCGTGAAGCAGCAATGCGTTTCGGTTTGAAGGGTGGGGCAGCCATTACTATAGAGCCTTAGATCTCATGCCTCAAGGTAGGTGGCGGCATTTACGTTGTATGTGTAACCACTGACCATCAGGTGGGCCGTGAGCTCGTCCACCCAACTAAGCAATAAAAAAAAATGTCCAACCTGATCATCTGTGGGTAGATGATTGCGATTAAATTGGGCTCAATACTTTCAGGTCTATGAACAAACGTATTAGAGCCGAGGAAATGTTACGCACTTCGCAATACCCTGGCAACATGGCCACTAGGGATCGTAGCCGCCTCTCTACTCCAGCTGCTCATAGTGATTTACCAATAGATCCATCACCCGGAATTCCTTCCACGGTCTCCTCAGATAGGCAAAGATGTGTTAGTCCAAGCAAAAATAGGACTGTGAAAGGAAAAAAATTAAAAGAGGATTTCGTAACTACCAGCCCGCAACCTTTTCGACTATGTACTGCAGATAGAGCAGCCAAAAAGGTTCCTATATATATTATACCAAATTATATAAAAGTAAACGTGTGTATCTTTGTAAATTTGCATACCCGATCCTGTAGACCAAACGAAAAACAGTCGCCGCCGCGCCGCCCAAAACACGTCACTCCGGATCCTCCATCCACTATCGGTGCTTTTAGGCATTCCGAGCGCCAGTCACCGTTCTCGTTGAACTTGTCGAATGCGACCAAGGGCTCGGCAAGCAAATTAACCCTTAGACACAGCCCGCTGAGTTTCTCTCCAGATTTTTTCAATGGGTCTTGACTCTGATCCGGTGTTAGATTCTGCGAAGCACTGCTCTTCCTAGGGCTACTGTTAACAAGGTAGTCAGGCTGAGCCGTGTAAGCTCGCCGCCGCGTTAGGTGAAGCTGGCATAGTCCCTCGGGGCTACCAGAATAGGTAGACAATAAAAAAAGTGTATATATTTTTCTCTATAGACTTCGAAACGGCTGGAACGATTTCTATGACATTTTCAGAACATCTTGAACAACGAATATCTTTAACCTAGCCCACAGGATGTCCGGCGTCTCCGGGACGGCGGGATGGATGTAATATGGTCTGTGTCAACCCTGTCCCGCCGTCTCAATAGCCCTCACTAGGCTCCGGCCCGGTCTGGGATCAGACGCCGGCTGTGAACGACAGGTTTTTAGTGAGGTTCAACTCCCACGTATGAAGGTCCGGTGATTTTCTGCTGTGGAAAAACAAGCCCACAGGATCACTCAGTGAAGCGGTCGTTTCAATGATCGGCCAGCACAGAGTGCTGTGTTTGAGTAGTTTTAAATAAAATTACTTGCACTGTCGTAGACCTAATACTGTTACTTGTTTTTAATTAAAGGGTATTTCTGCTCCGATTTTGCTATTACAGATGGAGAATATTGCTATGAAAATGTATCAAGAAAGTAAAAGTTCGGAGAGCACTAAAGACACAGCATTAGGGCCAGCTGCAAGAGCCTATTCTGCATTGGAGTTGAGAGGGAATGCATCTGGGAGATCTAATCTAGCTGCATTATTGAGAGCTGAGGCAGTTCGCAGGAAATTTGAAATCGACGCGGCCAATCGCCTCGCTGAGCATCGCAGAAGAATGGAAACGAGGCAACGAGATCGCCAGCTACGATCTAAGCCCGCGTGGCATCTTGTCAAAAATAAGTTAGTTTATATAAGGTTTTTTTTTTTTTCGTTTTTTATTTCTGCTTTTTTACAATAGTATATTGGGGGAGGCCTATGTCCAGCAGTGGACTGCCGCAGGCTGATGATGATAACAATACTATACTTACACGAAAATATTATATTATACTGGGTGTTAGGAGACCGCTTCTGAAAACGAAGACAGGCGATAGATAGTACTAATGACACCCTTGATGATGGGACAGTAAAAAAATCGATCCTGATTAAAAAAAAAACATTTTTAAATCGTTTTATTAGCATTATTTACGCTCCATCTTAATAGTACAGCTAAATGAAACGTCATATTTCATCAAAAACAGCTGATGCTCGGATGCTAAGAGTTCATAAACACACCAAACATTTAAAACAAACTCATTGCAGACAATTTTGAAAACAAATATGTTTTTTGGTGTTATTTTTTTCAGAAATTGAATTATCAAGCATCATAAAATTCAAATACTAATTACAACGCACACTTAACTTACAAAATCTAACCAATAAAGATACCTAAATGTAGATTGAAATCAAGAATAATGTAGATTGTATCAACTTATAAGCATATTTATGTATGGATTATGATGTCATACAGAGGAACTGGAAAAAAGTGTTTAAGGAAATATCAATTACCCTACCTACCAAGAAACAGTTATTTATGTTTATTAATATGAATTTTGCATAATATTTGTTAATAAAAGATTGCAAACATCGAAAAAACAAACTACCTATAGAATTACAATAATTAAACAAAGTAAGAAATGATGAAAAACAATGTGGGAAAGAAAAATTTTAGTACTTTGCACTATTTGTGCATTCCTACACTTACAAACGTAGGCTAAAATCAGTATTTAGTTTTGTAGAAAATGAAATTTCTTTTAAAATCTCAGTAACATATTTTGCCGTTGTTAGTGACAAATTATTAATGACACAGAATTCCGTACGTAGCTGATTCGCCATCATATTGGATATTTTTCATTTCAAAACCATTCCAATTTTATTTTTTTAATAGGAATTTCTTATGCTTTCGGGCAGTACGATACAACCGAAGAAGTTAAGCCTTTTTTTTTGAGTACCTATTTTATGCTTTTCTGTCTATGAAATGTAATGTTTGTGTAATGTTTGTCAACAGTCACGAGGAAGATATAGCGATGCGTTTACAGACCAGACGTGACGAGGAACGTATGAGACGGGAAGAGTTTCTACACGAAATGGAATTGATGTACGGGAGAGTACAGCAGCAGCCAATGTTGTTCGAACGTTATTATGCGCCTCGTTCACAGTCTTTACAACTGGACACTTTACAACTCTCTCCCAGGAAGACGAAGAAACGAAGCAAGAAATCTTTTCAATTGAAGTCTCCATGTCGCTCACGGAAGGTGTCAATTAACGACACAGCCGAAACATACAGTGGTGATGTTACCGACTTTTTAAATCGAATAGATGTCGATGACAAATACGCATTTTCAGATATTGTTGATAGTTTGGATAGAGTAAAACTATAGACATTAATTCAAGGATTTCTTTACATTTGAAATGGAAATGTTAAGTACTCGAGTACAATAAAATTTAAAAGTTAGCGGTTTCATTTTCTTCTTTTTTTTAATTGCTTACAAAGGCCGACGAGCATCGGCTCAACTAATGGTGGGTGGTTATCACCGCTCATGCACCGTACACTATCTTGTCAAGTGTATAATAATTAGGGTTGCCAGATTTTTTTCAGCCTATAAGGGGCAAATGCTTAAATAGGCAAAAAAATACGAGAATTTAGTTTTTTACCCGGGACAAATAAAAAACAAAACTATATAGTGACATTCTTTATTTTTTTTTTGATAATCCTCCAAGAAGCAAGTCAGTTTTAACATATTTTTATCGGTTTCCGCATATTTATAAAAATCAATAAAATTATAATCGTACGTACGGTTGGAATACGGGACAGAGTCAATCCCGACGGGAAATTTTAAACTAAGCCTAAAATACGGGACGTCCCGGGAAATACGGGACGTATGGCAACCCTATTATTATTAATAAACCTTACTTATATGATAAGATCGTGAGCAAAAGCCTTGGATAGATGTGGTCACGATCAGTAAAGGGACGACTAGCGCAGAATGTAATATTTTTTTTGCGTAGATATCAATTTTCCTTATCGAATTTTTAAATGTCATCCAGCTCTAAGAAGAACAGAAAACACATGGTTAAAATAAAAATCTCATTAACATATATATATGTATTTACAAAGACTAAACTTGACAAACAAGTGTGTGCAATCACATGATGTTGTCTAAGATCCATTTGAGGAAGTACGATATCGAGGTATAGACTCCGGGTTTTTCATTTCCACACATCAAAGGTCCGAATGAGACTACACCGACCAAAAAATTCTTAGGTCCTTCAAGAGTGTCGAATACCTGGAAAGATTGTTATACAGAATTCGTTGTTTACTTTTAAAAAGCTTTATATTTTACAATATTATTAATGTTACGCGCTGGAGTTCGGGATAAATAAGTGTTCCACCAAAGTAAAACTTAAAACTGTATTTATCACCTAGAACACACACACAACATTTAAAATTTCCTCGAGTTCTTCGGGCACATCGCTCGTAATGAGGTCTCCATTGAGCGGTTGGTGGTGCAACGGAAAGTCGAGGGCAAAAGATCTCGCAGACAATCTCCAACACGATGGACCGACCTCATAAAATCTGTGACTCAGTCTAACATTTTGATTGCTCTCAGTCTACGAAACACCGTGCCACATGGCGTCGCATCGCGAGAGCATCGGTATCGCAGGATTCGACTGATGCATGACCACGACCACTTTGTCAAGAGTGTACGACTAGGAAGAAAGTTTATCCTTACAGTTTAAACTAAATCAAGTTATGACTCGACTTTAACGGACTTTTGCATTCTGTATAATCTATGACCAAACTTGTATAACTGGATCGTAAAATCACGAATATAAAACTATATACTAGAATCATTATTAAAAAAAAAAATTGAGTTAGTTTAAGCAAATTCGCCGACACAATTATATCTATCAAGCGTTGTCTCTCACTGTTTTCCTTAAACATAACTTGAATAACTACTAGTTTAGTTTCTGGTAATAGTAAAGATTATAAGTTCGTGAAATCAGAATCATGCAAATTAATTAATAAATGTACTTGTACAATCCATTTCACATCCGGAATATAATTGTGCTTATTACTCTCAATGCTTACAGAAATAATTTAGAAATCAAACACGACCATAATAAATTGTCAAAATTGAATTGATAGGTATTTCTCAAACTCTTTTTTTTTATTCCTTAGATGGGTGGACGAACTCACAACCCACCTGGTGTTAAGTGGTTACTGGAGCCCATAGACATCTACAACGTAAATGCACCACCCACCTTGGGATATAAGCTCCAAGATCTCAGCATAGCTACAACGGCTGCCCCGCCCTTCACACAGAAACGCATTACTGCTTCACGGCAGAAATAGGCGGGGTGGCGGTACCTACACGTGCGAACTCACAAGAGGTTCTACCACCAGGTATATCGATTCTAATTTCTGATTAGGAATAATTAATTTATTTCGACGTCTTGTTAATAGCATTAGTAGCTAGCTACCTTCATGAGTGGCCCCCCTGAGTCGCCGGTGCAAGCATCTTTGTTACGTTCTGTGCCCGCGCAGACTTCAGAAATGCTGATTTTGAAATACTTTCCGAGCTCGTTGCACAGTTCCGGCTTTACAATAGGCAGCTTAAATAAAAAATTACAATCTTTGTAAACATACATTATCTGTCTATATATATATATATATAAATGAATTGCTGTTCGTTAGTCTCGCTAAAACTCAAGAACGGCCGGACCGATTTGGCTAATTTTGTCTTGAATTATTTGTGGAAGTCCAGAGAAGGTTTAAAAGGTAGATAAATATGAAAATGGTCGGAATTAGATAAAAATAATAATTTTGTATTTCCTTTGATGTGTCCCCCGTCGGACGGATTCCTTTTGTTTGTTTTAAGTTTATTTTATACAAAAGCTTAGGTCTTTTATTTGTCGATTGAGGCACTACGAAGTCTGCCGGGTCAGCTAGTCCCAGATAAAAATACCACTTAATAGCTATGATGAACTCATTGATTTTTGGTGAATTACTTGAGTAGGCAACAGCCAACAGCTGTTAGTATAAAAAACAGACTACCTTGATGAGTACGAAAGTACTTGTTTTTAACACATCTCACATAACGTTTCGTACCTGCGACTTCGCATAAGAAATTTGTGTCACATCGACTTTACCACGACGTATTCGCATTAAAAATATGTGTCCAATTTAAGTAGTATTCATCATTCTCCTGCCCTTCTCCCAGTCACCTGGGGTCGGCGCAAAATGCTTTCTCCTTCCATATTCCTTTACCATATACAATTTCTTCGTTCATTCCCCTCTTACACATATCGTCTTTCACGCAACCCATCCATTTCTTCTTAGGTCTACCTCTTCTTCTATAGCCTTCCACATTCATAGTTAACACTTTCTTACAATCTATATATAAAAAAATTAATTGCTGTTCGTTAGTCTCGCTAAAACTCGAGAACGGCTGGACCGATTTGGCTAATTTTGGTCTAGAATTATTTGTGGAAGTCCAAAGGCTTAAAAGGTAGATAAATATGAAAATGCGCGGTATTAAACAAAAATAAAAATTTTGTTTTCCCTTTGATGTCTCCCCCGTCGAACGGATTCCTTTTGTTTGTTTAAAGTTTATTTTATACTAAAGTTTAGGTCTTTTATTTATAAGGCACTACGAAGTCTGCCAGGTCAGCTGGTCACAAATAAATTACCACAAACATTTATCACAAACAAATCACTTACTGTTACAACTTGTAACGTATCAGCACTTTCATCAGTTGTCAGATTAGTTTTACCCCAGCCAGCTGTTACCATGATTTCTCCGACGCGAAACTCGGAACGTTGTTCCATAGTTTTTGGCAAGCAAATCGGCGCCACGTACCCTGTAAATACATGATTACTACTACATAGATAGGCAAAAAAATATTCATGGAAGGTCTTTCTTTCTACTATAAGACGTATCAAAATATATGTAGTTCCACGTCGTTGACTTTTGAGTTTGTGAATCTATTTTTTAATGCTGTGAGTGAAAGAGATTATAACGCGAACCTTGTAATATGAGAACAGTGAAGTCTCAACTGTATTGTAAACCAAAATTCGAAAGTGAAGAAATAAGTAGGATGTAACTCCCGGATTGACAAGAAGAAACAGGTTTTTTTTTCTGCTTAACCTTTGTGTTCTGATGTTATATATTCTGTAGCGGATGTTAGGAGACTTGATAGAGGTAGTCAAATAGCTGCTGCATGAATGCATTTCTACATATCTTCTATCTTTCGGCCCACAGACGTCCAATGCTGGACATAGGCCTAAATGCATGCATTTGAATTACGTCAAATAATATTATGTATTTGTGCTTTAGAATTCGTCGACATAATCGCGTCATAGCCTTTTTAACATAGCATATCTATACATATAAATAAAATTGGAGTGTCTGTTTGTAATATTGAAATAACCGCTTTTTACTACATGCATATGAATATATATACGGTACATACACCAAAATAACATTTTTGTTTATGTCTGTCTGTCTGTGTGTTTATTCCGGCTAATCTCTGGAACGGCTGGACCGCTTTTGAAGAGATTTTTATTGATAGGTAGCTGATGATATAGGGAGCAACTTAGGCTATTTTTTTTAGACTAGCTTCGCCCCTCGGAGTCATCCGCGTTAAGACAATAACCGCGCATAGGATCGCGGGACTCAGTTATCAATAATATAATTTAATGTTTCCGAAGCGAAGCGAAGGCGGGTCGCTAGTATAACCTCTTAATAAATTCTTATTATAGTAATTACTTGAAATTCAACATACCATTCAGAACTGCGGGTTTCTCTAGTTCAATAACAGCAATATCGTTATGGTAAGCAGGTTTGTTGAATGAAGGATGTGTCCTCCACGTTTTCACTTTGATATCTTGTACTGGCGGAGCACAAACCGATAGCTCACAATCTGGATCGCTACGGATATTGTGTTCACCGAGTCGTATCATCGTTCTGTTAGTTTAAGATTTTATTTTTAGTTTGCTACCAAACACGTACTTAATAATAATAAAGAGCGATGAAGAATTTGCATATACGGAATAATTTAGCACACGGATTTAATTGACCGTCACACACACAAAATCAGACCGTTCTTTCGTTCTAAAGTAATCGCGCAAAACAGTTTATATTATCATATTATAATGCGAATATCCACACTGTACAGGTTAACTATATAAGTAATTGGCATCGAGTTGTAAATGGCTCTAGTATAAATTGAAGAGTGTGGCAAATTGAAATTCAATTTAACCCGTGACCAAAGTAAAAACCATAATAATGCATTGCACACTTTGCCACTTTGCATGAAATGAATAAGACCAATGAATATTTACAAGAACAAATATATTGAACTAAGATACGGTGGAGACATGGCTAATAAATATAGGTACTGTTTGATAATTTTCACGAGTGCTCACACATTTGACAGTTTAGCTCAAACTGATAATTGTCAGTTTCAATTTTGCGGATCTAAGAATTAGCACGATTCGAATTTTTGACAGTATTCTTGGTCAGTTAATAGTGACTTGGTCATTGCTGGTCGTAACTATCATGACTAGGAATATACTTATTATTATACATAATAGCGATTGGAATCAGAAAATAGAAGTTACCAGTAGAACTTACGGTGTAATTTCTTCTTCTTTGCTCATGACGCAGTGAGCAGCAGTAACAACGTAGTGCTCATTTACGAGAGCGCCGCCACATTGCCACAATAATTCACCATCACCACCATCCTCTTTGGAATAAAATAGTATAGAAATTAGTAAACAATATTTATATTATATTATTAGCAAGTGTTATCTTATATTATTAGGTATACCCACAATTGTTTATAGCTCACTTTTTTTATTTTTTATTGTAAGTGGTTACCGTCGCCCATGTACTTCAGCAATGCCAGGCGCGGAGCCAAGCCTCTGCCTACTAAAACTAACTAGTTATCACGATAAATTTGTTTGTGTGTGTTTTATTTAAACAAAAATTGTATTTATTCTGTTGAGAGGTACATTTGATTAATCGATAGATTTCTACTATTATTCAAACTCTTGCAATATATTATGGTGACTTATTTTTAGGTAGTTATCATGCTCTTTCTAATGCTTATGCTAATTTATATACCTAAAAGTTGATATTTGTATATATATTTATGTACCCGCTATAGACCCCGAAACGACAGGACCAAATTTCGTCGAATTTTTCAGAAAAATTTTAAATTGGTCATTATGATAATCCTCTGAAATGGGGTTGCAACGGGAATAAACCCAAACATATGGCAGCAAAGCGAGTCGGGCTTGACTAGTATACCTAATAAATAGCAGAACACAATTATTTTTATATTTAATAACACTAATGGCAGATATATGAGACTCAATATAAAAATAAATCTAAAAAAAATGTGGCTTGATCAAATTATTGCAGTATGGTACGTGACTAATCGTTTTTTAAAATTCAGTCGTTGCGCATGTAAGGAAGTTAGCACACTAAAAGTAAGGACCACAGCGTGAACTTACCTAGATATCCGATGCGAACTATCCAAGGAAATTGTCCAAGATTAGCGTTTGTTCCTCCGATGATACGGTCAGCAGCACTATCACCGCAGTCGGAATTAGATAAATTTTTCCAAGCTGGATGACTGGAAATCGGATCTTCTGTATTTATTTTTGAAACAGCTAAACACAATGCAAGATGACTGTATTAATTATTGTTGAAATCGTATTAAGAGTGATTATGGCGAAAAAAGTATATTCAGAATGTGTATTTGGTGTTGTCAAGGTTCTGGTGATAAACAGGCCGAGAATGACTTAATAAACATAATTAGGTTCGTCAAAATTATATAAGGAGGGTTTGTATTGACGTCACAGGATCCCGATGTTTATAATCTATCCGAAATTCACTAGGGAATATCTTCCTGACTCTAGTTACTATTATAAGTGATAGTAGGGTGTAATGTATGCATTCAAACGTTTAGCTTTGCAGGGCGGGGTTGTTATTTCTTAATACCAAGATTACCAACTTATGTATTTAGTTGGTTGGAGACATTTACGCTATGATATTTATAGGATCTTGCAATAATCACAACCGAAACTGCGAACTCATGGGTCTATATAATGTATAAAAATATCGTCTCGTTCTGGTAGTAAGTATCTCATGTAATCTTTTGACTGCAATTTTTTATGTTATTAAATTACGGGAAATATCAATCTTCTTCGGTAACGTTTCTCTGTTACAAGGACTACAACTACGGAAAAAACCACAGTGAAATTGTTTATAATTTCATTCGGGTTATTTTAGAAGTGATTTATCATTTAGATGACGTCAACTGTACTTGTGATATTTTGCACAAGTAAATGCGTCATAAGTATTAGATGAAGTTAAGAAAATTAGAATAATTCAATTTTCATAGACTATATTTTTTTCTGCTATTTGTGTATTTTTATAATTCAGTGGTTTGGTTTTAAAACCTAAACTGGTTCGTCCTCGATGCGTTTCAACCTACCATCATCGTGTCTATTTCTGCGGCGAATCAGTAATGTGATATATTTAAGGTAGCATATATACAAGAGCAATAGAGATCCTTCTTATTCATGCTATTGTTCTTCTTGATGGGACTGTACACCTTAGATACTTATTGTCAAACATTAGGAGCAAATTCTCCAAAATATGGGTGTATTTGTGTGATTTTTATTACCTTAGAAGGCATAAGGTAACGGATCACAATCATTAATTGATAACCAAACAGCTAGTGTCTAAGGCTCTTTTCGTTTGAAAAAGGACATCTTATAGTGATTTTGCGAGCTCAACACTTTGAAGAGGAGTACATTCCAGAGCTGTATAATTCGTGGCTAGGCATTACTAGAAAGTCAAAATACTTCTACTACTACCACAAGGCGAAGAAGAATTAGTAGTCACTCGTGGAAGCCGTAACGTATCCAATTATTATTTTTTAATTAACAAGGAACTACGCGATGAGTAATACATTATTATTATCGTTATTAATAAAGTGGATGATAATTCAAAGAAACCTGTTTCCTGGGATGATCGTCGATGACTAAGTTTTAACAAAGAACTCGCTAACTTAACGCATTGAAGTTAAACAATTTCTTGATGCAGCGGGAGATTCCCTTTTTTATTAATTAGTCGTATTTAATTTATTAGTAATGACGTGCTTTACAACGTATACTATTAATTTTTTGTTAACTTACACTTAGTCTTGCTAATTTCATATTAAAACAAAAACACTCACCCGAACACAAATATGGTAACAACATAAATAAAATGCAAAAGTAAAAACTCGGCATTTTTTCATAAAAAAAAAAACTTTGCGTCGTACTTGAGCGGCAGTCTTTATTGTGTAGTTAGCTACTTATTTAATATAGCGTTTACAACAACTTTCAAGTTTGCCAGATTGCTTATTTGTTGAATATTTTATCCAAATTATTTTATTCAACTTGTGTTCAACAAGCTACATGTTTTCACTGTTGTTTTTGCCACACTCTTGAACTCGTTCGAAAACAAAATTGTTTCCTTTAAATATTTCAACGTTAATTTCTGGAAAATGGATAAGAAAAACTGAATAATCATGAGTATTTCTCTTTTAAGACAAGATAAATTAATATCTTAATGGTTTCCTTAGAATTTCAATTCTTCGTGGCTAGATACTGTTTGCAGAGTGGCCTTCCCCGTTATGCTTTCAGTAACAAATTAATCGAGCGTCTGGGTCGAATATAAATACTTACATAATTAATTCGAAATAATTCTTGGCCACAAAAATTAATGACAGTGACAGCCGAACATATAGATTTAATAAAAGTTTAGCATTTCTTCGTCTAATTTCATTATTGGGTTTCTTCTATAATTCTAAGTTGTACTCGGTAACTCTGACACATTTAATTTAATAACTTGATAAATTACCATTGACTCCAACGTGGAGATTCTCGGGAGCTCAAATTGGACTATACATTATGTTTATTTAAAATGACTCCATAGGTATTGGGAATAGTATTATTGTTGATGGAAATGTTATGAAATTTATAAAAGCACTTAAGCCCCGCAATCTGATGAAGGCTCGTAACCCTAAATTCGTTAAAGCAGAGCGTATCGAAATGCGATTATCATAGATTCGTTCCTACGATAATGTAATTGCATAGGATAGTGATTCTACAAACAATTAAGATGAAATCGTTGTGTTTTCATTTCAACACGTCATGTTAAATCATTAAATTTTAGAAATCACTAAAACAGATTTCCAGGGTTTATTAATTAACTAGCTTTTACCCGCGACTTCGTCCGCGTGGAACAGTTCACAATTTTTAATGATGCTTTATTTTAAAACAAATTTGGTTAGCATAAAAAACGTTATAGTGAGCCAACCTTAACATATAGACATATGCTGTCACGGACTTTTTTAGATCTTTTAAAGGAGAACAATTCTGTCATACATTATTTTAGCGCAACTTTAACCGTTTCTGCAGCGCAAGCAGCGGAAGCTCTCGAAAGGGAAAAAACCTCGATTTTGAAACATTCTTTATTTGTGCTCCGGTTGTATTGGTCTTAGTGTGATGTTATATAACCTTCCTCGATAAATGGGCTATCTAACACTGAAAGAATTTTTCAAATCGGACCAGTAGTTCCTGAGATTAGCGCGTTCAAACAAACAAACTCTTCAGCTTTATAATATTAGTATAGATTTAGATAGGTTGACTAGCTCGCGGTCCATTTGATATTATGTAGTTGTCTGCGTCCATGGACATGGGGTTATTTGTTATGCATTACGGCCGATTATAGCTGCTTTCTGAATGCAGCCGTCAACTTTGGAACCTAAGGTGCAAATTTCAGTTCCATTAGAGTTACAGTTATTCCGCCCTTCGCCCCGATACCGTACGATTGCCTCCTGTTAAAATTAGGTGGAACACTTGCACTACAAGCGGGCTCACATCACGCTCAAAAAAGGAAACAGGACAGACTGAAATCTCAAAGATTAACTGTTTATTTACATCACATCGATTTGCTGGATGAAGTGTTTGAACGATTTACATGTAGTTTTCAATTACCGTTCACGGATTACTGTATTTTTAATAAAAGTTGCAATATAGTAGGTAACATATTAATTCAAAGACATTATAATTTTTCAGTTGATTAAGTTATTTTTAGATAATAATAAGAAAACATAGTTACTGAATGTTTTTTTACTATAATTACTGTTTGTCAAACACTGATAGATATACTTCGCTAATACTCCTTAAAGTTTGTGTCAGTTATAATATCTCTATTAATATTTATGTGAAATTGAAATCAAAACAGTACCAAAAGTATCCAGGCCAGTAACACAGCACGAAGAAAAGCGCGCGGTTATAAATCGATTTACAATCTCTATATTCGAATCACCATCTCATTTCTTTGATTGATTAACTGCCAGTAATAAAAAAAATAAAAACAAAAAAATCTTATTAAGATTTCGAACAACAGACGGCATACATTCAAATAAATGATTAATGTTTGAAAGTTTGTAATCCCACGAGTATTGGTTTAGCTGTATCGTGCATAGCTGCAAAACGAACTGTAAAATAATTACAGTTATGTTTTAATTTTTGCGTAAAGATATAAAGTATATATAGGATGTTCAATATAACTTCGCTTGAAAAGTTCTTAGAACTCCTTAGTCTTCCAACTAATCATTAGATAGGAAGTGTTCATGATAAACATGTCCATTAAAATGAGAATATAATTGTGCAAAAGACTGGTTTCGTTCTCTCTCTATCTCTCTCTCTTTCTATTGCGTTAATGATAATGATTTTGTTCGAGTTACGGTGAGTATTTATAATAATTTATGAGATTTGTGAAGACATGATGTTCAATTTGACATTCAAGTCAAATTAGACGCGCTGTAGTGTGAATGTGTACAGTAAATTTCGTGTAAAAGCTTTTCATATTTCCTTAGACTGTTTAATTACTTTGAAAATGTCCAGTAGTAAGTGTATGCCAACCTGGTAGGTATTTAAAGTTTTGATGCACGTAAGCATCACAAATATACACACACACACACACATCTTAGGTAATTCAATAACAGGTCTTAATTATGTGAGTGGTCAATAAGTTCGCCAACGCGTGTAACTCAGTGTGTTTCCCAGCGGAACTAGTATGATAATGACTGCCTCCTTGATAATATGCTCGGCAATCGACATTTCGTTTATCTCCTTAATCGAGTTCGCATCTCTTCGAAAAAAAAAAAGCACAGATTAAAATATTGAGGAAAAATATACGAGAACCCATAATAACTCGTCGGCATATTGAACAAAATAACTGGATTGACGCTCGGACCGACTCGACGTTTGCCAGTGCCGTGATAAATCTATTATATTAATGTTGTTAAACAACGTCAAATTAAATGTGTGTTTTCAAGTTGGGGCTCACAAAGGAACGTAGAAGAAATTTTTATAGATACATCGGTGTGTGCGAATGGTTTGGCGCAGTAGGAAATAAAGAATAAAAAATCATGCTGCAGACGTTTTTTTTAGTCGTGACGTCGATCCTGCAAATACAAAGTTGTAAGTAAAACAGTTTTTAAAATTTTAATTTAAAAAATAAACAACATGTCTTCAGATTTAGACACTTAGGCATGCGGACAAAACCTGCAAATGTTTTCTTTTTATTATCTTCTGTTTTCTGAAATCATACAATTTAACTAAATACCTAATAGTTAGGTACCTGCTATAAGGAAATCATTTAATTAGTATAAAATTAAAATAATGGAGTATTTGTTTGACATTGAGTTCTAATGCTTGTAATGTGGGAAAACAACATTCAAGTCTACGTCTTCAGACCTTAGCCTTTAGTTTATTTTTTTTTGAACAAATAATACTTCCGTATTGTTTTCGAAATAATGGAAAGCGTGCCCGCGTGCATCCTAATAGATCATAAGTGATTAGCGACGTCTGTCTACCGCTAAGGAATTTCCTCAAACCTGGTTTTCACAAAAAAAACACCACTGGAAACACAACATTTCAAATGTTTTTTGTGTGTGTAAGCGCAGAGTTTCCTGTTTCTCAAGAACATCTGCTCCGTTGTCTGGTGGTGCAATGACAAAAAGACATGACAGTAATCGTGATGTCTACTCTAACAGTTCGATAAAGGAATCTCCATTGAATATACAGTACAAAACACGGAGCAAACAAAAACATCAGTTCAAGAGATTCGTTAGCGCAATATTATTAACAAATCTAACGGGCACGGCTCGTAGATGAGCCCGAGGATTTGTACTATAAAAATCATATTATTTTTAGGCTAGAAGCCTGCGGTGCTTTATCGTAAAACTATCACCTAACCTGCCTATTTCTGTTTGAAGGATGAGGCAGCCATTGTAACTATACTGAGACCTTAGAACTTATATTTCAAGGTGGGTGGCTCATTTACGTTGTAGATATCTATGGACTCCAGTAACCATTTAACAACCAGGTGGACTGTGAGCTCGTCCATCCATCTAACCAATNTAGGCTAGAAGCCTGCGGTGCTTTATCGTAAAACTATCACCTAACCTGCCTATTTCTGTTTGAAGGATGAGGCAGCCATTGTAACTATACTGAGACCTTAGAACTTATATTTCAAGGTGGGTGGCTCATTTACGTTGTAGATATCTATGGACTCCAGTAACCATTTAACAACCAGGTGGACTGTGAGCTCGTCCATCCATCTAACCAATAAAAAAAAAAAATTATACTGACATAAAGATAATAGTCCAATTTTATTCTTATGATTGCAGTAGAATTTGGAGAGAGTTGTTTCGCAAATGATGAACCGGGAACGTGTATCGCCCTCTCAGAATGCAAGCCAGTTTTATCATACATCGAAAAGTTTGGAAATCAAATCCCTAATAATTTGCTACAGAAGTTTCAAGATCTGACGTGCGGCTATGACCACAGCGATCCCCTGGTAAAATACACACTACTATGTAAAGCATTTATTTTATATACATATATGTCCTTTTTTTTAATTGTTTAGTTGGGTGGACGAACTCACGGCCCACCTGGTGTTAAGTGGTTACTGGAGCCCATAGACATCCACAACGTAAATGCGCCACTCGCCTTGAGATATAAGTTCTAAGGTCTCAAGTATAGTTACAACGGCTGCCCCACCCTTTAAACCGAAACGCATTACTGCTTCACGGCAGAAATAGGTAGGGTGGTGGTACCTACCCGCGCGGACTCACAAAAAGTCCTACCACCAGTAATTACGCAAATTATAAATTTGCGGGTTTCATTTTTATTACACGATGTTATTCCTTCACCGTGGAAGTCAATCGTGAACATTTGTTGAGTACGTATTTCATTAGAAAAATTGGTACCCGGCTGAGATTCGAACACCGGTGCATCGCTCAACACGAATGCACCGGACGTCTTATCCGTTAGGCCACGACGACTATTAAACATATATATTGTTTTTCAAGACAAAAACTAACTAGAGGAATTACTTACAGGTTTGCTGCACTACATCCCAACACATAACTGGATACTTTAATGATTTCGGTAATCAAAATGGCGGGACTAGCGTACCGAAACGACCGAAGCCCGTTCCTACTAGTAACAGCGGTAATTGGGGCGGTCAACCAAGCAAGGAACAAACAACAAGCAACCGACCGACTACTGCTGATACTGATATTAATAAGAGCGGCCGTGATGACGACTTTCCGGACATTCGTCAGAACCCCAACTTGAGTTTATTATCAAGTAATTGTGGAACGATAGAAAGCGATAGAATATTCGGAGGGAATCGTACCCGACTGTTCGAGATGCCGTGGATGGTGCTTCTTTCCTACGATTCAGGTGAGAACTGGTATTTACTGGTGATAGGACCTCTTGTGAGTCCACGCGGGTAGGTACCACTACCCTGCCTATTTCTGCTGTGAAGCAGTAATACGTTTCGGTTAGAAGGGTGGGGCAGCCGTTGTAACTATACTTGACAACTTATATCTCAAGGTGGGTGGCGCATTTACGTTGTAGATGTCTATGGGCTCCAGTAACCACTTAACACCAGGTGGGCTGTGAGCTCGTCCACCCATCTAAGCAATAAAAAATAGCCACCATGTCCTAAAAGATAAGATACCTACCTGGTGTACTGTCATCGAGCGATTCGACTACGCCAGTGTTCAAATCCTGCAAACAGAAACAATTTTTTTTAAATAGATCGTGCTGGCCGCATGCTCACGCATGAATTCCCGGTGCTCACGCTATGATTCTTGTGGGCTCTGGTAACCACTTAACACCAGATGAGCTGTGACTCGTTTACCTATCAAAACGCAGTCCACTTATAAAAGGAAATATGACATCGGCAATTCGAATAATGCAGTGGTAATAATAAATTCACTAACATTTAATACAAATACATCTAATTTTAGATCGTGGAACAAAATTGAATTGCGGAGGAACACTTATAAACGAATGGTATGTTTTAACGGCCGCGCATTGTGTATCGTTCTTAGGAAATAGATTAACATTAAAACACGTTATCCTGGGAGAATATGACACAAGGCAAGATCCTGACTGCGAAAGATCGGAAGGAAAGGAATATTGTGCGGCTGGTATAATCGTTAGTATTAATAACTTAATCTTACGCTTTTGAAAAAAATGAGATTGCAATGCCAGTTTGTGAAAAAAGAGTTTTTTTTTGTGTTAGAAAGGGGCTAGAAGATCTTCCAAAAATATTTTGAAAGTTACTATATAAAAAGGCCAATGTAGTACGCGTTGTTTAGATATTGATAGCTCATTGTTCTAATGCATAATACTAAAAATGATGTTTGTAATAATGGTCTTATTAGCATCATATCACCATGTTTTATTTAACAGACTATGTATTTAATAATTGAACATTTTTATAAACTTGTCACTGGCATTTCAAGAAGCCAATTGCCACACTTAAAAAAAAAAGAGCGCCATTTTGACTGTGAGCTTGTTTGGGAATCAATAATCATCAAAAATATCTATAAGCCAGTCACAAAACCAAAAAAATATCTGTTAACGAAACTGTTATCTCGAATTTAGATGTATGCGTCCAGTAAGGCTTAACGTGACATTTTAAGTCAAATTCAATTCTCAGGCTTAACAACAGATTAACATAAATAAAATGCATATTTTTTACATTCGTTAGTTTTTTTTTTTCAGACGGCAGAATTCGACGAAGTAATTCCTCATACAGGCTACACACCACAAACATTAATCGATGATATAGCATTAATCAGACTGAAAGAGCCTGCCGACTTTGATTTAGGTAAGTCTCCCATTGTTTAAGATATAGCCAAATAAGACATATTACAGATAAAAGATACCAAAAAAAAAGAAAAGAAAAAACGTAACTAAAATGATTATCAATTAATTAACCAGAATTGATTACGTGGTTCTGAACTCTGATTTGTATATAACATCAAACTATACATCTAAATAACTTGTAATTTTATTTTTTCAACATTACATCTGTGTTCGTATTCACACCGTTTATACACATACGTGGAACGAGAGTCAATATGTTAAACCAGTTTTTATTCATGTTTAAAAAATATTTATATTGGCTAAAATGCTAAATGGTCAGACACGAAGGTTGATGCACTGTTCTGGCTTGTCGATGAAATTCTTTACAATACAATTCATTTATAACAGAGTTTAATTGATTTTTTTGGTAATTGGGACAAATGACTTGTCGCTGTGATCTGTTGGAGAGTTGTTTCCGCAGTCCATGGACATCGGCATGCGCGGCAGTACCGGACACAAAACTGGAGCATAGTAAATAGCTTCACTCCAACGATGATAATCGCCTCGTCGTTGCCGCCGCTGACTACTACCGAATCCTGATCATGCACGAGCCAGTCACCGTCCACGCCCTAGACACGTCCTTACGGATCCATCAGATCCAATAACCTTTTCATTAGACGCCTTCAGCTCTAACACTAGGAGCAGGCTTAGGGACCCCGGTAACCGTACTCGTCGAACTCGACAAAGTGGTCGACGTGCAACCTAACCCATGCATCAGCCCGCTGAGTTTCTCGCCGGATCTTCTCAGCGGGTCGCGATTCCGATCCGGTAGTAGATTCATTCGCGAAACAATTGCTCTTGAGTTGTTAGATCTCCTTCGGAGGCGCTCGGGCAGTTGTTAGCAAATCCCACCCCTCCTGGCTGAGCCTTTGCTCGCCCACCTGTCCTGGTGAAACTGGAAAGGCCTTCAGGCCACCAGTAATCTTTCAATCATAAAAAAATATATATATAAAAACTCCAATTGGAAATAAAATTGCCGAAATTCTTTGCGAATATTAGAAACCTCCGAAATCTAGTGCAAATGTTTGACATCTTATAAACCGGTATCTTACGTCGACATTTTTTCGTTACAGATAATATTAAAGCGATTTGCTTACCGATTACTCCTGAACTGCAAAGGGAGCCTCTTGTTGATAACTTTGGCGTGGTAGCAGGTTGGGGAGTGACAGAAGAAGGACTACAATCTCCTGTTTTACTTAGTGTACAGCTGCCAATTCTCAGCAAAGAAAAATGTTTGCAAGACTATTCCCAGTAGGTATCGTTCCAAGCAAACCGTATACTTAATAAATAAGAATTTTCGTAAAATTCAAGCAATGAACTCCAATTTAGCTTTCGCATTCTCTATGAAAACAAGCTGTTAATGTCACTTAACTTATTAGTTAGTGATCAAAGGTCTACTGATTCTATGCGAGACTTAGAATTTATGTTTTATTTATTTTTATTTTTTGCTTAGATGGGTGGACGAGCTTACGGCCCACCTGATGTTAAGTGCTCACCGGAGACATCTACAATGTAAATGCCGCCAGCCATCTTGAGATATGAGTCCTAAGGTCTCAGTTATATCAGTACAACGGCTGCCCCACCCTTCAAACCGAAACGCATCACTACTTCACGGCACGTGCGGACTCGTAAGACATCCTACCACCAGTAACCATGCTGGCGGCTTTTATGTTACTGATGTGCTAACACCAGATGGGTTATGGACTCATCCAAACATCTAATGTTAAGCAATAAAATAAAATATAAATAAATGTGGTTACAGTCGCACTTGGACATGAGAAACACCACAGTTCTGACTTTCAGAGCTTGATGGCAAACGTAATTTCTGGAAATGCTAATTTTATTGTTTCAATGGGGGCCGGTGCAGTGAATTGAATATTTAAAAAAAAATCGTTGCTTCATTTATTCAATAATTCAAGGAAAACGCCTCACAGGTAGGGCTCCCACGAGGTGGACCGATGGCCTGCTGCTGAAGGTCGCGCGAATCCACTGGATGACGTTTGCACAGGACCGCTCATTGTGGCGAACTTCTTGGCGGCCTATGTCTGGACAGTAGACAGCTGGGGGCTAATGACGATTGCTTTTAACTTCAGATATTCCCTTAAAATCAACGACAAGCAGCTCTGCGCCGGCGGCTTGCACGATAAGGATTCATGCGCCGGGGATTCTGGTGGCCCTTTGCTGTATCCAGGGAAAGTTGGCTCAACTGGCGTCCGATATGTTCAGAGAGGCATAGTCTCGTTTGGGTCGAAGCGGTGTGGTATCAGCCTGCCAGGAGTGTACACGAATGTCGCATACTACATGGATTGGATCTTGAATAATATTAGAAGTTGACGCGTTGTATTTAAGGAAACTAGTCTTATATTAAACTTATCATAAATGTCAAAATCGATTTGTAGTATCATGTAGTCAAGCCTGTTCTGCCATAAATTATNGAGAGGCATAGTCTCGTTTGGGTCGAAGCGGTGTGGTATCAGCCTGCCAGGAGTGTACACGAATGTCGCATACTACATGGATTGGATCTTGAATAATATTAGAAGTTGACGCGTTGTATTTAAGGAAACTAGTCTTATATTAAACTTATCATAAATGTCAAAATCGATTTGTAGTATCATGTAGTCAAGCCTGTTCTGCCATAAATTATCAAGTGAATGACGTAACGAGTGTATTTTTTTATTGGTAGCCATTGAAAATATGTATGCAGTGTTTTTAAGATGTATTTGGAATGTTTTTGATGATACATTAGATCGCGTTGGTCGTGTTGTTTGATTATTATATTACAGTTGAAACTCATCTAATTTTGCTTTAATTTTTTATTTGTATTTTTTTTGTTTTTGTATCATTTTTATTTATACTATTATATTTTGGTGCTATTATAACTTGTGTGAAAGATAGTGAGTATTTTTTTGTATTTAAGCTGACGTTTAAGCGGAGTCATAATGGCCTAAAGAATAAGACGCCCGGTGTACGATTAAGCAATGTGACTATGCCATTGTTCTAATCCCCAGCGTAGGTAACAATTTTTTCTAAAGAAATACGTGCTTACACTTACTGGTGGTAGGACCTCTTGTTAATCCGCACGGGTAGGTACCACCACCCTGCCTATTTCTGCCGTGAAGCAGTAATGCGTTTCAATTTGAAGGGTGGGGCAGCCGTTGTAACTATACTGAGACCTTAGAACTTATATGTCAAGATGGGTAGCGCATTTACGTTGTAGATGTCTATGGGCTCCAGTAACCACTTAATACCAGGTGGGCTGTGAGCTCGTCCACCCAACTAAGCAATAAAAAAACAAAACTTAGCACGTGCTCACCAATGATTTCTACAATGAAGCATTAACATCCATCCTAATATTATACTTAGTCTGGCCATAAATACTGTTACAAAGGAAAACAAAAAAAAAAACTATGGCAAATAACATTTATTACTTTTACAGTGTGTTAGTTTAATACATAAATATAAAACAATTTAAAGTATAAAAAGCTTATTCGAAGTGGTCTCCATTGGCTGCAATACAGTCATTTAAACGTTGAGGCTAAGTTATCAATAGAAGCACGCACTCTTTCCATGAGAAAATTTTTCACTGCCAATCGTACGGATTGTTTTAAGGACTCCAAATTATTATGGCGTTTAGAGCAAGCCGTACTCTCTAAAATTGACCATAAATCATAATCCAGCGGATTAAGATCGGGACTAGACGACGGCCAGTCTTCAGCTCTGATGAAGTCCGAAACGTTCGTTTCCAACCAAGACTGCGTAGACCGAGCTTTATGACCTGGCGCCGAGTCTTGCTGGAAGGACCATTCTTGATTATTGAACATGGTGTTGTTAAGGGGCTTCATTACCTTCTCGAGAATGGTATCTTGATACACTTGTGCCGATGTTTTGATACCTTTTTCACAAAAGTATGGCTCAGTCACTCCTTCATAGCTAATACCCCACCAAACCATCACTGAAGTCGGATAGTGCCCACGTTGCACTCTGTCGACTAATTGGGAAGCTTCCTTAGAGCTTTGAGCATAAATACGGTTTTATTTGTTAAAATGTTGCTCAATTGTAAAAATTTTCTCATCCGTAAATAAAACTTTTCTATGTCCTCCCTTTGCGTACCGCTTCAGTAGTTGTTTCGATTTTACCACCCTATTCTCTTTTAAATTATCAGTTAAGAAATGACCAGTACGTCTCTTATAGGCTGCAAGTCCTAAGTCATCTTTTAAAATACGCGACATGGTTCATCTTCATCTCCCGAGATAAAATCTTTTGCTTTCGGACAGATTTCTTTGAATTCTTTCCCTTATTGCTTTGACCACCTTTTTCGTACGAACACTACGTGGACGGCCAGATCTTTTTATAGCCCGGTACACAAACATTTTACTAATACCAAGCGTATGGAGAGTTTTCAAAATTGCATTTGGTCCCATACCTACTTTGTGTAATGCAATCACAGCGATTCAGTTCTCTTTATCACCCCACTCCATTTTAATATCGCAAAATATTGTACAATGTATTGGCGCCAAAATGAGAAAACTCAATGAGCAATCATATAAAAATGACAGATTCCAAATTCAAATATAATATTTTGTTTATTTTTAATTGTAACAGTATTTATGGCCAGACGAAGTAAATACGGTAGTAGCTCGGCTTATTATTTTTCACGATTTTGACCAACAGCTGATTTTGACAACTGAAATCAATGCTTACAGGAATATAGGCTTTCTTTCACCTCACCGCTGGCTGACCACGGATCTCTGCTAGATACGATGTAAAAGTAGTTAGAGAGATCGCCCGTAAATTATTTTTCCTTCCATTTTTATAATATTGTCCTCCTTTTCTAATGTGTTTCATCCTACTATTATTTTCTTTCACTTTTCATTATTTTTAAAGGCTTCTACCCTGGTCTATTAGTAGTGTACTGTGTAGTAGTGTAATGTTTATTGGCGAAATAATTTGCGTTCAGAACAGTTTTGTACAATCACGTTAATCAAATTGTTGAAAATTTTCATATGTACGAAGTGTGTTTTTTTTGGCCTCTAAATCTGCAAGCAGCCTCGAGAGGCTATATATGACGTGACCTTGACTAGTGGGCGAGCTCATGTGGCTTAAGCCTTTAGCAATTAGCTAACCTTTGACCTAGCAAGAGCTGTGCTTTGCTGAATCTACAACCGTGTTTTCCGAAACCGAAACGCATTATTGTTTCACGGCAGAAATAGGCAGGGTGGTGGCCGTCGCCAGACGTCCTACCCCCAATAAAATGGAATCGCGACCCACTAAGTTGTTCCGACGAAAAAGTGGATTTGAGAAACTCAGTTGGTTAAATGTTGCGGGCCGTTTTGTCCCTTGACTTTGAAATCTCAGTAATATATAATATATCTCAGTAATCTCAGCAATAACTGCTACGCTTCAAGCTCATATTATAGGTACATACAATTGCTTAAGAATTTAAACGAAAAATTAAATTAAATCGCTGGATGGACTGTGACCTTTTGCTCGTAGTTTGTGAATCGATTTCTTGTATATTTAATTATTTCAGTTTAGTAGCTAATTACAAACGTTACGGAAGTTACGAACGCCCTAAACATGTCATTACGGATCCTCTTGATCCATTAACGGTGCTCTTAGGTTCCTCAAGCACCGCTCACCGTCCCCGCCGAACCCGTCGCTTGCGACGAAGGGCTCGGCGAGTAAATTAACCCATAGACCAGCCCACTGAGTTTCTCGCCGGATCTTCTCAGTGGGTCGCGTTTCCGATCCGGTGGTAGATCTGCGAAGCACTGCTCTTGCCAGAACCAGTGTTAGTAATACTCCCGGTTTGAGCCCCGTGAGCTCACCTACACGTCAAGGAGAAGCTGAAATAGCCTCTCAAGGCTATCCAGCATAGGTAGGGGAAAAAAAGTAGTATCCATTTTTCAACAACAGTGACCATTTAAAAAAAACAAAAGCAGTATTTTTACATACTAAGACATTTCAATACAGAATTGCAAATGAGTACAGCTCGTGTTGCATCGAAATATCGAATTTGTATGTCCGGACTTTTACAATTAGTTTATAAGCTCTTTTGTTGTCAACCCCACCGTAACCACTAACATGCCAATCTCGCTTCACTGTTTCAAAAATGGCGTTGACTTTATCTGTAACAGATCTATCCGTGCGTACTTCATCTTTGATATTAACATTTCCGGTCTGAAAGCCTGAAAAACTGATTTACATTTATGATAATCTTTCTGACACTGCGTTAAGTCCATTAATACCATATTTTTTTCGCAGTTTTTGTCGCATTTTTCCCGTAGGTATAAAATAGGTAGGTATTAAAATATATCGAATTTCATGCTTAGATTCACTCATTTTGGCGGATATTTTGACAGAAAAACAATAAAAAAATTCTGAAAAACCGTTTTAGCTTTATATTTTTCTCGTAAATCGTCTTTTTTTCTTTAAGGTCTTAAACAGCCAGCTAGCTACAAACAGTATAACAAAAAAAGTTTACTATTACTTTTTACGTATAAAATATGAAATGGTCTTCCTAATTATAATATAAATCGGACGATAAATAGTGAATCATTTTGCGATGTTGAGTATCTACACTTAAAATTATCAATAGTAATAACATTTATTGATTTGTGAGAAATAATGAAAACGCCTAATGAGTTTTCATAATCGTTACTATCTATGATCGTTCATATATCTTGTTTACATTAAGATTCCTTGGGTTTCTCCGTTTATTATTCATCGAATTAACAGAGAGTGTGCCTTATTGCGTGATCGTGATCTAGCTTCGGTATCTTTAGTTCTAAAATATGTATTCGAACTGAAGAAGCTCAAGATGGGTTTTTTAATTTTGATGGATACGCAATATTACTGCATATCGAGTCTTACATGGTTAGAGGAGGCTATAAAAATCAACGGAAATGACGACATTTACCTAGAGACGTAAGGTTGAAGCCTCGATTGTAATGGCCCTACCCTTCCTACCCTTCAAGCCGGAGTGTATAACCGCTTTGCGGCAGAAACATAGGTGCGAGCAGAGCCAGAGTACAATACTTTGCTACTACCAGTAAAAAGTAGCTGTAGATATGGGTGACGGATCTGTTGATGGTAAATTAAATACTCATATTGTCCATATGTTGCTATTCGAAAAGGTTATAATGGAAGAAGGAGATATGCATTTTTGAAGTGAAACTTCTTTAGGCGCATGAGGGTAAAATTTTTACAGATGTAACGTCACGCAGGTATGCAACGGAAGTGTCGAAAAAGAGAGAGAGAGCGATCGAGACCGATTGAGAGAGAGTAAGACAGGGCGAACGTAGCATGAAGCAACTAGCCATGGAGTGAGAGTAGGGGGGAGCAAGCAAGTGAGAAAGATCGAGAGAAAAAGTGAGACAGAATGCTCAGTTCCTACATACTTTAAAACATACGTATAAAGTATTTTATTTTTAATACAGCGCCATCTGTGAGATGTTTTAATAATAACGTGTGTATGAAACCTCTTGTAGTGAATTTTAATTTAGGATATACGTGAAGTTAAAATATCAATTCACAGAGGGCGCTACCTCATACTATAAAAGGTGATTTACAATTATTTACTAATGACAAAATTTTACTAATAATATACTTAGACATTTAGGATCATTGTATATTAATTTTTGAAGGTTTCACTTCTAACACGTTTGCACACATGTTATTTTTTTATTACAATAGATTATGGAAAACTCGTCATTTCGTCATGTAGTGACGATGACACCACATGATGATTACGACCACACTGTGAAGAGTGAAAAGATTAAAAAGAGAAGATTAAGTAATTTATAGTTTCCTAATATTGGAAGACAAGAAAAATTTGGTTGAAAAATATTGCCTGCGCTAAAATAATTTCCATTGTGTTCTAGCAATAACTGACCAGCAAAGTATACCGCAAAATTTTTGCAGAGAATTTGAGAAGAGAATTT